AAGTTACTAGAATGCCCCTGATTAGTGATGGGACACCCAGACAACTTAAAACATTAAACAGGATTAGGCCCATTAACAAAGGCCCAGTACAGGACAACTTAAACTTAAGTATAGGCTAMTAAGAACTCTTATCAGCCGAATACTCATACATACAAAGACTTCAATCCAACATGGACCACTTGCAGAAAAGAGTTGGTGTATGCATCTGACTTTTTTGGTTCTAGATGTGCAAAATTTTGTACCTTTGATCCATCCCACTTGTAATAAAAAATATATTTAGAATGCTTTGGTATGGTATTACATAATGCATATGGCCTTTCCAAGTTATCCTTGACTCTATCAATTTCAGAATGCTTTTGTGAGCTATTGAATCAATTTAGTTTCTTGCCTCTTTCTGATGTGGGTTTTGGATGTTATTGCAAATGGTGATTATTGCAGCTCGTCTCTTGTATAAGTATTAGTTGGTTGTGAATAACACATATCATGGAGGTCAGATATTTCATAAATTGAAATTTTAGACGACTTTCTTTTGGTCAGTTGGATGGTTCATTGAATGTCTGGATGCTTTTATCTATTTTCAGCTGCCTTTTAGTTTCTAGTGGTTATCCGTGATCACTGGATACAGACCTAAGCTTTGACATTATTTGCATAAAGTGGTTTGTCTCGGACTTGAACCCACATTTTCATATTTTTCAGCCCAAGGTTTTACAACTGCACCACGTAATGGCCCCTTTGTACTGTGAAGTTGTGATAAAAAATAAATAAATAAAAGGTTGTCCTCCAATTAAAAAGTTAAGTAGATCATTATTAACAATATCACAAGTTGTCTATGTTTTAATACATGAAAGTCTAAGAAATATTTCCTGTTCGCATTTTCTTTAAACTAATGTTTCTAATAAATCACATTATGAAGTAAGTTGTCCATTTTGTATGTGCTGATAACTAGGTCATATATTGTTTAGGTCTTTCATTTGTTTTCAGTCTTTAATGTTTACATATTGGCATAGGTTGGAATATCTGTACCTTTGATATATTCCAGTCCAGTGCGGGCTACATACTGACATATACATTTAAATATCTTGTCCTTTGAAGAGCAAAAGCAAAGGAGCTGATGAAAATTTTCAATGATCCAAATTGTCCTCAGTCAATCAGTGTTGCCATGTTTGCCAAGAAGGTATTATTTTTTTGTCTTGTCAGGAAACATGATTTTCCCTTTTATGTATGTGGAAGATGTAGTACATGGTGATATACTGTAGTAGGGTCACTGTGGTAATTGTACTGATTCTTATATTGAATGAAAGGAGTAGGCAGTTGACTAACCTCTTCCCATCTTACTTTTAATTAAGCTCTCTTCTTTCTTCTCTTCCTTTCTATATTTCCACTCATATTAAACATCTTTCATATCTAAACTTAAGTCTTGCTTGGCATTGGGGCACTTTCATCATTGCTACAACTTCTTACTGTTGCCATCATAGTGCCTTGATGACATAGCATTGTATGAGTGTGAACCCGTGAACAGAAATGACTCCAGGTCCTGATAAAAGAAGTTTTTTCGGTGGGCAGACATTTTTTGATGTTTTTTTAAATGATAGAACAAAAGACATAGAGGGTGGACATGTTGGGTATGTGTGCCTGATATCACACAGTCGAGATGATAGTATTAAAGCTCTTGGGCCTCCCTTTCAATCTCTAGGTGGTAAGAGTGTTCGAGAGTATCGTGAATGCAATCGGAGGGTCTCTGGTTGATGTTGATATTCAGGATCTTCGTGCTGCAAGAATTAGAATCTTGGATGGACTTTGGCACAGGGTTTGGATTGCGAAAGAAACTGAATCATCGCTTTGGTGGAGCAACAAGGAGCCTGAGGAAGTGGGGTGAGCTCGAGAATAGGGGAGTGGAACCGACACGGAACGTTGGAAGTCTGCGAATGAGTCTCGTCTGCTCCAAAACAGTTATGGGGAAGATGGAGAGGTGGTGCTGCGAGTAGATGGGTGGGGCGGGTTTTATTCATCGGGTTGTCGATTCGGGTTAGTTGGCCCAAAAAGAGAAAATCTAAGATCAATTAATGTAATCAAAGAGCCTCCTTTGCATGCGACCCCTAAGAAGTCGAGTTTAATGGACGATAATTTTGGTCCATTTTCTTCCCCTTCGAAGATTGACAATGTCTCTCGTCTAAGCCGCAGCAGATCAGAAAAGAGATTCTCTCAGGGCTAGCAGGTCAAGGGAGGAAGAATTACAAGGAAGGATAAACCCATGGTTTTGAGGGCAAAAAAGGTAAGAACTTCTAAACATAATGATTTAAGACTTTTTGGTGGCCATGGCAAGAGGAAGGAGTCTTGGGAGTGGGTGGTTGTGAAGTTCATGAGTTTGGAAGATATGAATCTGTCTAATGGTCAGAAGGTTGAAGCATGTTTGGAGAAGATATTTCCCCAAGCTTTACCATGGGATACTGAAGGAGGTGGTTCACAAGAAAGAGCTGCGGTCGAGGACTTAACTATTCACGACAAGAAAGATGTTGGCATGATATGAGATGGGGTTGAACCCGGTGACGGAAGAAAATTTTGGTAAGGAAGAAAATTTTAGAGGGGATATGTGTTTAATCGCCTCAGAGAATAAGACCATCTCCTTTGATTTCAGTAGGAGGGTTCTGAACCAGGACGTGGTTAGTGAGTCAAGGGACGCCATTACTATGGAGTCTAAAGAGACAGGTTCGACAACTTCAGTCTTTGTAGGAAAGTTGGGGGTGGACTTAGGAAGGAGAAGAAGTGAAGGCGTGGCGAAGCTGTCTAATTCCGAGAATCCCATTGTAGGGGAGCCGAGAAGATTAAGAGGATCCAATAATGGGCAGCTTGTTCATGTTACTAAGGTATTTCATTGCCTCAAGGAAGGATTGGTCAGGGACGGTCCTTGTTGTAGATTCAAGAGAATCTATAAGAGGAAAGGAACTAAATCAAAATCAAAATCTAGAGTTTCAAATTGTTTGAAAGAGAGAGGAAATGCAAACTGTTTAGAGGCTGAATCAGACAGGATGGCTCAAAGCAGAATTTCAAATTTCCAAACTGACAAAGCATCGGCAGGGGAGAAGGAAGATATGAATATAATAAAGTCATCTAGAAGGAATTTGGAGGAGGAGAAAGATGATGGGAATTGCTGATTTAGGGGGGAAGATTGCGAGAAATGGAACACCAAAAAATTCTTTGGAATCGAAGTCCAGGATAAGTTTAGAGAGGAAAGAAGTGAAGGGGGGGGGGGGGGGGGGGG